TCATATCATTGTGGGAAAATTCTACTACCAGTCCTTCATCACCTTACACGAAATAGGGTAAATACATCTTTTTATTTAGTCGTTTTTTATATAGAGTAATATATCGTTGCCTCATTACTAACAATGTATATTACTCTAACTGTCTTGATTTATAATCAGATGCATATTTAGTTGAGAGATACGTGGTAACTTCCTTGTTTTATTTACATTATTTTTTTTTACAGATACACGTTACTTTTTTTTCTATTACTATGTTCTATTTGTATTTGGCACCATTGTTCTCACCTCAGCAATATGTCCTTGCCTGCGTCGAAGACATCACTTACCATCTGGTCCGTGTCGCTGGACGTCCGCTTGATAGGCTTGACTCAATCAAACCAGTTGGTGCATCCGTGCCTGCTCCGCCTCTCTCCACTCCTCTCAAAGCGTCTTCATTATCTTTGGCCGCTGATTTTGAACACTCTTTTTCCAGTGGCAGGCAATCTCGACTGGGATGTTGGCCATTGTCAGCTTCCGACTCACTTTTGGCAGCTCCTATTTCTGGAATTTCCGTTAGTGTTGGCCACAACAATGTAGAATACATTCCAACCGTAAAGATCAGCACCAGCAACAATATAGCTATCAGTAACAACTTAGCCAATCCTGTTCATAATTCCTTTGATCAATCCAGCCTACCCACTTGCGACAGTACACAATCTCCTTTACTCAAAACTCGACGTACGACCAATGAGTCGACACCCGACTCTTTTGTACGCTTGGTTGGTCTTCATTTGTCTCTAGACGCTGGCATACAACCCTACGTGCATCTTGGCCAACCCATGACTACAGCTCATATCGCACAACACACTAATCGTGTTGCCCCCTGTTCAAATGGTAATTTGTTTAAAGATATCCCTAGTCTAGATGTCACTGCTGCAGAGAAGGAAGGAGAAACGTCTAAAAACAGACTAGGAGTTGACGGCTCTTCAACTAAATGGTCTCCTGGATCGGAATATGAGTCTACTGGATCTAGTTCTAAACTCCATCTTATTGTTTATTATCATGACGCGATTGGGATTCTCGACTTCATTATCTTAAAAAGTGTATTCGACAAATCTCTTCGGCATAACTGGAATCCAGGTGATTAAACATTCTTATGTTTTGCACTATCCCAATGTTTGTTTTTTAAAGTTGTCTTTCCCTTAATATATATTTCACTATAATCAATTTCATTTAGTTATGCGGAATTTCACTTGGACATGAAACTGTATAACCAAGATGTATTGCAGACTATTTATTCGAAAAAATATATTTACCAGTTAATTTTTCCGGTTCGTCAGATATTAATAATCAGTGGCTCTTGTTCCCTTTCTCTCGCTCTCGCTCTCGTCCTCTAATTCTATCCAGGAGCTGAAGATATCTATTACTTAATTGCATACACTCGTTCCTCTAATTCAGGATGTTATTTGTTCTGTTGATCTCATTCGACTCCATCATCCCCTTAGCTGTGAAGTCCCAATATCCGGTAAAACTCTGGGTTGCTCTACTGTAGTGATCAGATGTTCAGCCACCTCCGATTTCCAAATCTAAAACATTTACAGGCTGTTATGTATGGATCTGCAATTCTCTCCCACATAAACACTACCACATGATTACAAAACCTTATAACCTGATCGGCAGAGTGCATCGTAAGATACTTTAAAAGAAGACATGACTAAGGAAAACGTTAGTATTTCTTCATACATCTCCAAAAATTCGCCTTTTTATAAATGCCTGGTAGATAGTAGCATGAACCTTTTTACTCCAAATAATGATTTCTTCTCACCCAATTTCTTAGTATTTCGAAATTACTAACATTTAATCTTAAAAGATAATTGTTTTCAACTAAGATTTTTCTTAGCTTTCTAACATCTGATCCTGATTATTTGTCTCCACTAGATATGAGACGATATATTGTTTCTTTGCCATTATTACTCTCGCTCCCCCTTTATCCACCTGAAGGACTAATCGTTCATTCATTTATAGGGTCCTGTAAATCCTTGCAAATTTGTTCCCCTTTATTCGTTCTTGATGCATCAATATTTTCGGGTTTCTTTCCATCTCCATTTTTCATTTTGTCCCTTCAGGAAATTGTGGGAAATATTGATGACCTCTACTAGAAAATCTTATAGAATGCTTGTATCATTTAGAAGAAAAAACTTCAGCCGCCTTCTTGGCATCGTAGTGGTTTCGGAATAAAGAGGAATTGAGGACGAATTCACTACAGTATCCCAATCGTATTAATGTTCACTAGGTGTTGTCAACTCCGAAACCATATTAATTAA